TCGCGTCTTAATGGTAATTTTTTGAATTATGCTAATGTTGGCTGATTCGATAAAACTAGAGAGGGCGACGGGCCATGGCAGAATCACATCACGTATCGATCTTGGACCATTTCGACGACTTGGACGACCCACGGGTGGAACGGACCCGACGCCACCAGCTGGTGGATATTCTAGCCATCGCCATCTGCGCCGCCATCTGCGGAGCCGATTCCTGGGTCCATGTGGAACTCTTCGGCAGGAGCAAGCTGGAATGGTTTCAAACCTTCCTGAATTGCCCAACGGGGGATCCCCTCCCATGACACCTTCGGCGATGTCTTTGCGCGTCTGGACCCAGCCCAATTCCAGAACTGCTTCGTGTCTTGGACCCAGGCCATCGCCGAACTGCTGCCCGGTGAGGTGGTCGCCATTGACGGCAAGACGGCCCGACGGTCCTACGACCGGGCGGGGAGCAAGGGAGCCATGCATCTGGTCAGCGCCTGGGCCACGCAGAACACCCTGACGTTGGGGCAGGTCAGGACGGCGGAGAAGTCCAATGAGATCACCGCCATTCCCCAACTGCTGGACTTGCTGGATCTGCACGGCTGCATCGTGACCATTGACGCCATGGGCTGCCAGCGGGAGATTGCCCAGCAGATCACAGACGGCGGGGCCAATTACGTCCTGGCGGTGAAGGAGAACCAGGGTCAACTCCACGAGGGCATCCGAGACCTGTTCGAGGGGGCGGAGGCGTTGGGCTTTGACGGGGTGCCCTACGACTACTCCCAGACCGTGAACAAGGGACACGGACGGGTGGAACGGCGGGAATGCTGGACCATCACCGCGACGGACTGCCTGGACTACATCAACCCTCACGGGCAATGGCCCCAACTGAAGGCCGCCATCAAAGTGGTCGGCCATCGTGAGACCGCAGCCGGCGCGATCAGTCAACCTCGCTACTACATCAGCAGCCTGCCAGCCCCAGCAGGACAACTGCTGGCTGCCGTCAGGAGCCATTGGAGCATCGAGAACTCACTGCACTGGACTTTGGATGTAACCTTTCGAGAAGATCAGTGCCGAGTGCGCAAAGACCACGGGCCGCAGAATCTGGCCACCCTGCGTCAGATCTCCCACAATCTACTGAAAAACGAAAACAGCCTCAAAGTGGGCATCCAGGGCAAACGGCTCAACGCCGGTTGGCGTGAAGACTACCTACTAAAAGTACTCCTCGGATAAGACGCGATTGCCCTGTGACACTTCCTGCTTTGACTTTATCCCAGCGACCTGCGAGGTACGAAACCCATGAGCGCAACACGAACCCTGGCCCAGTTTATTGCCGACACCGAGTTTGAAAGCCTGCCGCCTCCGGTGGTGGAAGCGGCCAAAATCGCCATCCTGGACGGGGTGGCCAACATGGTTGCGGGTTCGGTCCAGGAACTGGCCGACATCATCGGCCGCTACGTGCGGGACGCCGGCGGCTCGCCCCAGGCCTCGGTGGTAGGTTGGGGCTACAAGACCAACCCGCCCGCCGCCGCCTTCGCAAACGGGGTCTTTGGACACTGCCTGGACTACGAGATCCAGGGATTTCCACCCACCCACGGCACCTCATCCTGTCTGCCGGCTGCCTTAGCGCTGGCGGAAAACCACCATGCCCCAGGTGAGCGAGTCATCACCGCCTACGTGTTGGGCTGGGAAATCCAGGGGCGGTTGCGGGCCGCTTCAGCGCCGGCCACCGCTCCCGCATATCACCCGCCGGGCCTGGTGGGTCCCCTGGGCGGCGCGGCAGCAGCAGCCAAGACCCTGGGCCTGGACGGGGATCAAACCCTGATGGCCCTGGGCATTGCCGCCTCTCGCACCGGCGGCCTCACCGCCAACACGGGCACCATGGTCAAGTCCACCCACCCGGGCAACGCCGCCCGCATGGGCGCCGAGGCGGCCATCCTGGCCGGCATGGGATACACCGCCAGCGAGGAGGCTCTGGAATCTCCCGTGGGTTACGCGGCTGCCCTGTTCGGGGGCGACTTTAACTGGGACGTGGCCACCGGCGGCCTGGGGGCGTCGTGGCGGCTGCTCGACCCGGGCTTTGACATCAAGCGGTTCCCAGCCCAGGTCTATATGCAGAACGCCATCGAGGCGGCGCTGAACCTACGCGAGCAAAACGGCCTCGATCCCGACGACATCGAGCAGGTGACCATTCACCGCCGGGGACGGGGCCATTCGGGGCCGGCGCCCCGCAGCGGCCTGGACGGCAAGTTCAGCGTGGAATACTGCGCCGCCGCCGCCCTGCTGGACGGCCAGGTGGGTATCGACACTTTCACCGACGCCCGCCGCTTCTTGCCAGATATGGATGAAATGCTGGGTCGCATCAGGGTGGAACCGGAAGGCCCCGAATCGGGTGCGACGCTGGCCACCGCGTTGCTCAAAGACGGGACTACGGTCAGCGCCGAATGCGCCGCCTTCCGCGGGTCGGCTGGCAACCCCATGTCCCGGGATCAGCGCCTGGAAAAGGTACGCGACTGCTTCCGTCGCGCCCTTTCAGAAGCTGACACCGAGCGCGTGCTGGAGATGCTGGAGAACCTGGAGGGCCTTGGCGACGTAGGGCAGTTGATGGGTGTGCTGGGTCAGGCGGCGGTGGGAAGAGGCTGAATCGCCAGGCACGGACGACATCGGAACCGCCTGCCACTATGAACTCTACCTTCGCGGAGTAGTCCTTAGGTCTTTTCGGTTCTTCTACTCATGCCATTGCTGGCGGAGCGCGGCAATCTCGGCGGGGCAACAATTTATCACTACTGGAACGAGATCGCCACGTTGCTCCGTTCCTCGCGATGACAAACTGGGTACGCGTGAGCCGCCTGGCTCTCTCGACCGCAATACTTTCACCTGATGCCCTCCACAGCTGCGTCAAGTTACCGGTGTAGAATGGGCCCAGTCATCTTGTGGATGGTGCGAATATGCGGACCGGGGCTGATTACAAAGAGAGTTTACGCGATGGACGCAACGTGTGGGTGGTTGGGGAAGGCGCCGTGGCAGACGTCACGACCCACCCGGCGACGTCGGCCATGGTGGATGAGTACGCCGCGTGGTATGACCGCCACTTCGACCCCGCCTGGCAGGACACCCTTCTGACCGGGCCTGATGGAAACGGCCAGCGATATCCTCTTGCGCTCACTGCTCCGAAGACATCCACCGATTTGAGAAGCCTGGGGAAAGCCATTAGCGCGGTGCATTTCTTGACCGGTGGCAACATGACCCACACCCCAGGCTACGGGACCTTGATAGCCCTTGGGATGCTGAACGTTCTCAAGCGGCTGCACAACTCCCCAGAGGAGATTGAGGCGGCCGAGGCGTATCTGGAGTCTCTGGCTAACAGCGGCAGGTTTTTGACCTTCGCCGGTGGTGGTCCCTTAATTGGGACACGTCTCCGCCAGGCTGAGAGCGAGCGCGCGGCACTGCGTCTGGTTAGCGAATCCGCTGAAGGTATCGTCGTGAGTGGAAAGATCCAGATGCACACCAGTACACCGTTCGCGGAGGACCTGCTGATCACCAGCAGGGATGAGTTGCCGCCGGGCAGCGGGAGGTTGCTGTGGTTCATCGTGCCAGTGACAGCGACGGCATCCGAGTTGTGACCCGCCGACTCGTTGCCAAGCATATGAATCCATTCCTGTCACCATTGAGCAGCCGGTTTGATGAACTGGACTCCATGGTCTGGATGGAGAACGTTTTCATTCCTCACGCTCGTGTATTTACCGGGGAGCGCAATGACCGACCTCGGCGCCATTCGCTGATTTCCTGGCTGCTTTGGCATCATAGTTACGGTTGGCTCGCCAAGGCTGAGTTGACACTGGGTATAGCGCTTGCCTTGGCTGAGGTCATGGGCCTCAAGGAAAATCCTCCGACCATTGAGCAGCTGGCCGAACTGACCGCCAACGTCCAGACCACTCGCACCTGCATGACGGCGGCGGAGCTGGACCCGGAGACGACCGAGAGCGGACACGCCCTGCCCAACCAGATCCATGTTGCCGCTGCAGGACTAAACACCCTAAAAGTCCGCCAGCGAATGTCTGAAATCCTGCGCGGGCCTTCCCGGATCGTCGTTGGTCAATGCCCCGGCCGACACCGACTTTGCTGACCCGGAGATGGCCGCCGAACTGGAAGACGCCTTTGGCGGGGGCGGCTACACTGCACTGCAACGAGCGGCGCTCCTGCAGCTTGCCTGGGACCAAGTCTCCTCTGGTTTAGACGGGCGGGAGGCAGTTTTCGAGCTCCACGCCAGTGGCGGGCTCGACGCATGGCGTGGCCGGTTGCGGGCCTGGTTTGAAAGCTACAATGAACTGGCCAATGGCGTACAGGAGTTCATTCAGGTAGACATGCCACCCCTGGACCTGACCAGCTTGCAGGAAGTACAGAACCCGCCGCGTCGAATGCCTCGATCAACGCCGGCAAGCTGATCAGAGGTCCACCAACAACTCGCAAGTTCGGTTTACGGTTTCCTTGGTTGCGAAGTTGGGATTTAATCCGACAAGGGTGAATCAACTGACGGCGGCGGGTTGCTGGATCGTGGTGTCCGGTTTGGCCACCTCCTCGGCTGATCGTCAGTATTTGCGCCGGGACTAGAAACCTACGGCGTAGGCCTCGCACCGGGGGTCTGCGCCGCCCTGCAGCACCTTGGTCTCCGGGTTGCGGGTGATGACACAGCATAAGGCTGAACCTTCCCACCAATCTGGGTATTGTTCTATCGTGTGGCCCTTCCGCCTTAATGTCTCGGCCACTTCATCGGCAATACGGCCTTCCAACCGCAGCATCCCCGGCTCATATTTCGACGCCCAGTTGGAACTGGGGAAGTTGTAGCTGTAGAAGCGCGGCTCCTCCACGGCCTCTTGGGGGTCGCGGCCAAATTCTAGCAGCGTGTCCCAGAAAAGCGGTTGTCGAGGTGTTGAGGGTATGATGGGGCGAGCATCAAACCAGTGGAGGCGGCGATGAGCAAGACCTACCTTCCCTACGATCCAGATCAGCAGTTGTTGCTGCCGGCGGCCCTGCAGGAGTGGCTGCCTGACGATCATCTGGCCTACTTCATCTCCGACGTGGTGGACCAGTTGGACCTGTCGGACATCACCGCCCGCTACGAGGGAGAAAGGCGAGGCGGCCCGCCTTACCATCCGCGGATGATGGTCAAGGTGCTGCTCTACGGCTACTGCATCGGGGTGGCGTCATCGCGGCGCATTGCCCAGCGGCTCCACGAGGACATCGCCTTTCGGGTGCTGGCGGCGAACAACACGCCGGACTTTCGCACCATCTCCGACTTCCGCAAGGACCACCTGGCGGCGCTGTCGGGGTTATTCCTGCAGGTGCTGGCGTTTTGCCAGCGGGTGGGGCTGGTGAAGTTGGGTCATGTGGCGCTGGACGGCACCAAGGTGAGGGCCAACGCATCCAGGCACAAGGCGATGAGTTATAAGCGTATGAAAGAGAAAGAGGCGCAGTTGGCGGCGGAGGTGGCGGAGTTGCTGCGGCGGGCCCAGGAGGTCGATGACGAGGAGGATCGCAGGTACGGCCAGGATAAGCGCGGGGATGAGTTGCCGGAGGAGCTGGCCTTTCGGGAGGGACGGTTGGAGAAGATACGGGAGGCCATGGCGGCGTTGGAAGCCGAGGCCCAGGCGGCGGCTGAGGCGGAAGGCAAGGAGCATCTCGGGGTGCCCGACGACAAGGCTCAACGCAACTTCACCGATGCCGAGTCCCGCATCATGCCCGGGCCGGGCGGTAGGGACTTCCTGCAGGCGTACAACTGTCAGGCGGTGGTTGACCACGCCCACCAGGTCATCGTGGCGGCCCGGGCCACCAACCAGTCCTCGGACAAGCAGCAGGCCGCGGCGATGATGCAGGAGACCATCGACAACGTCGGTGCAGTCCCCCGGGAAGTATCCGCCGATGCCGGTTACTACTCGGCAAAGGCAGTCGACGACCTCCAGGCCCTGGGCGTGGACCCGTTCGTCGCGCCGGAGCAGACCCGCCACGGCAGAGTGGTTCCGCCGGCGCCCCGAGGTCGCATACCCAAGCACCTCTCCCCCAGGGACCGGATGCGCCGGAAGTTGCAGACCAGGCGGGGCCGCCAGCGTTACGCCCTGCGGATGGAGACGGTGGAGCCGGTCTTCGGCCAGATCAAGGCGGGCCGGGGCTTCCGCCAGTTCCTGCTGCGGGGACTGGAGAAGGTCAACGGCGAGTGGTCCCTGATCTGCACCGGC